CATGCCCAACACTGTTTTTCTGACCTCCACAAAAATACAGGCCAAAAATAAATATGCCAAAGGCATTGGTGGGAAAACATAATATGCCAAACATATTGGAAACCATATGCCAAAAACATTGGGCCAACATGCCGAAGACATAAAGGGAAAAAACGAATGAAACAGCATTTCCTCAAACAAATTGCAGCTCCGAGGCAAGACCCTTCGGTGATTCGAGGATATTGGCAGCCTGTCTCTGTGGCACAGGGAGCCAGCGCTGCACCAGTCGCTCAGAGTGGAGTGGGACGGGTAGAAGTGATGATTTGTGGCAAAACTAACAAATGGCCCGAACTTCTAAGGTTTGTAAAATATTAATTAAACTATGATAATTTCTCCAGATGTGAGTCTGAGTCAACATGTGAGTCATGTGAGGCAGTGTCAGAGCTGGTTGTTTGAGGTAACACCACAATTCCTGGTTGCTGGTTTGGAACAAGTTGTTTTTTTTTCCATTCAGTTGGTAATTTCATTATCCCAGCTGACTCATATTTTTCAGAGGGGTAGGTATAGGTTGAAACCACCAACCAGATTCTTTTGGCTCCAAAGACATATTGTAATGGGGAAGGACTCATCCAACTACTGTAGTCATCCAACCGCGACCACATGGGATCGTTGACCACACTTTGCGGGCGAAGTCGTAAACGCTGGAGCTGTAAAAAGTTGGAAAACATGTTTCCAATTTACATGAAATCCTGGTTAAGAGGATTCATCCCAAAATGGCCCAACAATTCAGATTAGTGAAATATTATAATTTACCCAGATTAAACAAAAAAGACAAAGATGCAAAGCCAAAGCCGGATTCGATCATTTTTGTTGACTCCGCCAAGGTAGAACGAGACCTCACTGGCATCACCGTAGATGATGGTTTCATATGTAATTATATATATACACATATAATATGACCACCCCAGGCCCCAGATGACTCAACATTTCAGATGGGTGAATTATGACAAAATGCAGCTATAGACTATTGAACCATTGATGTAATTGTTGGCTATATCAGGCTATATCCCAATGTTTGTTCCTTGAATCCCTCACGTCGGTTGGATAATTCCACATTCTTGTTGACATCCACATCTTTGGTATTGGTAATGGTTAAAGCCACATCTTTATTGGCTACACCCACAATCACAGTCCAACATCTTTCTCACAATTCAAACTCACCATTTATCACTCTTAAATTTTGTGGAATTTAAAATCCAAAAAACAGCACATTGTTCACCAAAACACTAGGGTTTTAACATCCAACAAATGGGTATGGGTCAATACCTATAGATACATTTTTAGTGGGATGAACATCCATTTACCATCATTTACCAGCTATTTTGGGGTTCACTAGGTACCAGGGTTTTGACCCATCCCCAAATCACCAAAGCACCCTTTCTTCTGTGGGTTTTTGGTTTGCGTTTTTGGCGCCGCCAGGGTGCAGGGATCGCTGGCGTCATGGGCAGTTTGGGAGCTCCTCCACCTGCGGGGGCGCCCCAGGTTTCGAAACACAGGAAAACCTACCCTCTGGTAAACTAACATAGCTATGGAAAATGGTGATTTATAGTGGATTTACCCATGAAAAATGGTGATTTTCCATAGCTATGTTAGTTTACCAGAGGGTAGGTTGTCCCAGAATGATGAGCTTTTTTGGTGAAGAAAAGAAGCCGCGAACCATTTCTGAAATGATTCAATATGATTCAATACAAAAAATCTAATTTTTTTTTCCCCCGGTGAAGCCCTGTCCACATCCTGCATGGGATGCATTGGAATAACACCCAGAAACTTTGCTCAATAGCCATGATTAAGATATTAAGTACATGGTTAAACTGTTAAACAATGTGAAACATCAAGATGCAGAAATCTCTAATTTTTGTTGAAGAGGATAGATCTTGGTGAATGGTTGGTGAATGATTTCATTTTGGAAACAGGGCAGAAGGTCTTCCATCTGATTGAAAATTCCATATTGATCCATTCAATCCCCATTCATACAACCTACAGTACTTATAGGCCATGACCACGATCACTGCTTAAGGATCTTAAGGTGCCTTCAAAACACATGAGCCACATGGACAAGTATAACATAGTATAACTGTATAACTATGTATAACTGTATAACTCAGAAAACATCTTACCACATCTTACAACTATTTCAGGAGGATTTTTCACACTTTCCATCTTTTTGGGGTCCCTCAGGTCATGATGGAGGGCGCCCACTGGGCTTGACCGAAAGTTGAATCCGATGGTGAGTGGCAGCGTGGCCGCGTGGATTTTGGCATGTTTTGAAAAAAAGACCCGGTTGATGTTAGGCCGGGGGAAACCAACCAACCAAGGATTCTTAGTTGAACATCCATATCTTGGTTGGTTGAAGTGCCTACATTCCAAATTCTCCTCTGTTGAAAGTCCGATGGTGTTGGTTTGTGTATGTTTGTGACCCATAGCAGACCCCGCAGACCACCCAAAACGATAGAAAAGTGAACTCCTCCTGAAATAGTGGTCAGTTTTATAATTGTTGATATTTTTTCTTGGTGGGTGGGAGGTTCTACAAATGATCCCTAGCAATTTCCCCATTTTCTGGTTTGCAACCAGAAGCAGCCAGTAGGGTTTACAGTTCGTACGCGATGCGGCCGGGGGCACCACTGGGTCTCGATGTAAGTGTAGGGAGTACAGCCGGAGCGCGCCGGACTTGACCCCTGGGATCCAGGCTGTGCAGCCAGGATTGAAAAAAACCTGGTTGAATACTAGGGGATTCCTCCCAAAGTGCTGTGTTTGAATGCAAAACTTGGTGGGATGATTTTCTGATGCCACGAATCTTTGAAGAAATATCGAGTTTTGTGAGCAACCGTTGAAAGCTGGCAACTGGAAACCCGGAAACATCACAAGATCCTTTTCAAGGAAGCGTATGTCCGTGAGCGAAAACAGCAATCTGATGATGGAGTTCACATAGGCGCTCCTATACATTTGTAGTAGGCTTTGATATGGACTGAAGTCGCAGAGCATATGAGGCTGATTGTGGTAGAGGATTCTGAAAAACTTCTTCTAGTCCTTGGTTCAATCTGGATCATTAGGAATTATCATTACTACTCCATCTGGTTGGTGGTTTGGAACATTGTTTATTTTTCCATATATTGGGAATTTCATAATCCCAACTGACTTTCATTTTTTCAGAGAGGGGTAGGTATACCACCAACAAGCCATGTGTTTATCGCAATGTCGACAATCATAGATGACCAATAGCTATCCATAATCATTGGATCATATTGGATCCTGCAACCAGGAAATTTCTGCGGAGGTACGCTGCAACCAGCTCCATGGGTCGGAGTTTTGGGCTATCCTCCCACAAAAAAGAGGCATCATTTGATGATCTAAATCCAGATGATGTTTGTTTCTCAATCTTGGGTTCCACATCCAAATCACGAGTATGGAATCTTGGGCCCACAATTCCAAGTTTGTCTTGATCTTTTAATTTTCAGCAGGTCGATTTATAAATTCACTGCTAGAGGGAACTGGTGTTTCTGCCGACCATGGAACTTGTTCCTTTGCACGCCCTTTCTGAGCAGCCGAAGATCGATGCTGCACAGGGACGGGGATGGCTGAAGCGAGGCCAAAAAGATCTGGTCGCCGTTTCTGGCTGGCGATGGGTGTCCCAAGAAAGATTGGGTGACCTCGCTGTTCAAAGAGATCGACCTTTCCATTGGAGATCAAGATCAGCAGGCATTAACAATTGGTTGGGACACGTCATGTTTATTTTATTTTGGTCGGTAATTGGGCTTCGGGTGGTACGCTTTAGCACTGCAACACGTCCAGTATCGTCCATTTTTTTTCAGACTTGGGTATGGCGACCCTCTCGCAATATGCTATCATCACAGTGCATTGTTTGCTGGTAATGAACAATTGTATAGCTCAGCAGAAACTCTCCGAGTTTAGTGTCGATGAATGAAGATTCTATAGTTGCATAATCCCAAAGAAGAAAAGTAATCCATCAAGATGTTATTAGGGTTTTACTTTTCTATACTTTTCTATCTTTTTGGGGGTTTACTCTATAACAACCCAAGTTGCATTTTACGTTCTTTTGTGCACTCCTTCTTTTTAGGTGAACGCTCCGGTCGAGATTCGATACAAGAGTCTGCTCACAGCCCATCTAAACACCACAGCAATGAAACACTCTGTGGATACGACGGGATACCAAATTCTTTTCTACAAAGACACCAGCGGATCACTAGCGGGCTGTTCCCTTACTTATCTTACTTGACTCTTTGCCATCCTTCATGTGAGCAGTGTTCAAAACCCTTGTTGATTGATGATTAGTTCGAGGGTTATATTGTCATACTATCCTTGATTGGGAGTTATCAGTTATATATTGTTATACTATTCTTTGAAATTTGATATTCGTTATATATTATATACTGTATATATTGGGTGTTATCACAGTCCATGGGGAAATCCTTTCTTAGCCAACCCGTATAAAGGATGATGCAATCGTTGGCCGGTTGACCACGCTATCTGGCTCAAAGATGCTTGGGGCCGCGGTTGAAGATTCTGAACCACCCATAAATGGCTAAAAAAGGCCAGTTATATATATATATATATATAAATATATGGAATAATCCCAGTTATGTACGGATTATATATATGACAAACCACTTACAAACTGAGATACAATCATGATCACTACAACAAGTTAAAGCATGCAACATGATCCTCCATTGCCACCTCCGCCTTGCCAGCGAAGACCGCCTCTGCATGATGCAGTTGCAGCACTTGGAAATTGAAAAGTGTCATAATTTTTTGGATTGGTCGATCAACCACTGACCAGTTTTTGATCTTTGGCTTTTTGAAGATACCTGATGTCTTCTTGGTAGTCCCAATCAAAATACCTATGAGTCACCACATTTTATGGGTTTCAGCACCAGCAACAAGTGAAAAAAAGACTAAGCCGATAGCCCTGGCACGCCAGCCGCTAGCCCCCCCCTTTCCACATGACCGGACGCGCTTCGCAGTGGTACCAGCGGAATTTTCCCCGTGTCGCTTCGCAAAGATCGGGCGGCAGACTGAAACTGCTACTGCTATGTTTCGCGGTGGGTTCAATGCAGGTGGGGAACCGAAGGCACAAATCAGAAATACCCTACAATGTGAGGCCCCCAAGATAGCTAAGTTGGTTTATAACTCCAATAACTATGGTTTATGGTACTTATGACTATGGTTACTGGGGCTTATAAACCAACTTATAACTGGGGGGCCTCACATTGTATGTTTTGTGCTCAAACATGGCTGGGAAATCCCTGGTTTCTAAATGTCGATTTCAATGGGACAATCATTGAACTAAATGGGGGATTTTCCAGCACGCCATGTTTGATTGCTCGAGGGTATTGATGCGCATGGGGAAGAGCAAGCAAGAGGGGGTGCGCATGGCCCGACTGTCCCAGATATCACCGCACCCCTGCACACATTATATATATATATAATGTATTTCATTATATATATATACTATATATAATATATATATATACTATATATGTATATATTATATATATACTCTATATATATATACAAATATTATTATATAGTAACATCTTACTGTATATACATATATAATTTAATGTGTATATATATATATATAGATAGAGATGTATGCAATTCTCTCTGGTTCAACTGGCAGGCTACAATCGCATGGCTCAGCTACCTCCGTGGCGATTTGCCTCGCAGCCGTAGCCAAAGCCGAAGACGGGCAGGCAAAGTTGGACATCGACGTTCACCATCCTGGAAGCACAAGTGCTATCGTTTTTGCCATATTTACCATCCTAATAATGGAGATTTATGATGATTTATGGGGATTTATAGGGATTTATAGGGATTTATAGGGGATATAATGGATAATACCCTCTGGTTATGTCAAAATAGCTATTGAAAATGGACCAGTTATAGTGAGTTTTCCCATTGAACATGGTGGATTTTTCCATAGCTATGTTAGTTTACCAGAGGGTACTATAGCTTAAAATGGGATGTTTAACCAACAACAGGCATTTAGAGGGGTTGTTTTAGGGATTCATAGGGACATGATGGAGAGAATTTGGAGAATTCACAACGAGACCACCGCGACGTCGCTCTTTTAGTATGGTGAATGTAAGGGAAAATATACAGAAGGGCCAACTGTTGTAGACGAGTGACGTCCATGATTTATCCAGATCAGTGAAACGTCATGCGTTAATAGAGATATTAATGAGATGTTACATAGATATGTGCAAAATCAAACTACATGGTAAGCGGCTCCCAGAACGCGGCCTTTTTTTCCAACTTTGGCGAGTTCATTTTGCGTGTGGTTCCTCAAGGATTTGTGTCTGGGTCCTTTCTGTTAAATCCTGCGACAAACCACTTTTTTTTTCATTTTTTTTTGTGTCAAACTTTCAAGTCTTTGTTTCACATGCGTTTCAGGACTTGAGTCAAATTTCTATAGGCATCAGTTGGACCTGAGGAAGGGGTCCACATTCTGTGCAACCATTGTTTGGCGTGTTGGAAGGTACTTGAAGAATAAAGAGTGTCGCATCAAGAGCGTGTTGGAAGTTACTTGAAGAAGCGAAGAGCGTAGCATCAAGAGCGTGTTGGAAGGTACTTGAAGAAGTGAAGAGCGTCGCATCAAGAGCGTGTTGGAAGGTACCTGAAGAAGTGAAGAGCGTCGCATCAAGAGCGTGTTGGAAGGTACCTGAAGAAGTGAAGAGCGTCGCATCAAGAGCGTGTTGGAAGGTACTTGAAGAAGTGAAGAGTGTAGCGTCAAGAGCGTGTTAAAATCAGTGTGAACAAAACGCTATTACCCACCCCACCCCACAGGCACGAAAACACACGAAAGCTGGCGGCGTTCTACGAGCCGCCAGCCAACTACATGTTTGGATTCTATCGTAGATTAATACATTTATTAAAGTAAATATTACATTATATTACATGTAGGTATGTTATGTGTCTATACATCAATAAACATAAGAAATATCGGACTAATGACTAATGTTTAATCTCTCCAAGCTCCACCCAATCACATACAATCCCAACAGTGTATTTTATGGATTTTCATTATTTGTTTTTTCGTGAGGGTATGATATTTTAATGTCTATATCAAGATGTACACCATAATTTTGCTGAAGCTGTAAACCCAAGAACAAACCCAATCATTCAACACGGCATTGTTTGTTTGGTGCACAATTTCTTGGGCGAACCGCCATCCTGGTCTAGATAGTTGCCAACACTTTTACAGTTTAAACACCGTGCCATAACTCCCATTTTTTTGGGGGGCTCTGGTTTTGGCATGTTTTGGCTTTTCATAACCCCCAATTGTAAAAATAATGTGGCTAGTTTGTCGGGTTTGCCAGTTGTTTTCCAAGGTGAATAGGGAGATCACCACTCGAAAGCAACCCTGATTTCGCCAAGTTGGGGTTCATTTTGATTGAGAAAAGGCCGAAAACCTGTGGGAGTTCAAGAGTGTTTGTCAAGCAGAATGATCCACCATCCCCAAGTTTGCCATAAACAAGTGGTATATAAACCATCAAAATATGGATGGTTTAATCCCAATAGTAGACCAAGAGTTGGTTATAACCCGCTATCCCATTTAAATCCCATTTAAATGCCATTAAACCACCATTTTCCAAAGCCACTGTGTGTTTGACCCACATATAAATTGATGATTCTGGGACGATTTGGCGCCGCAGCGCCAGGCCTGGAAGACGACAAGATCACCCTGCCAACGCCCCGTCCCATCAACGACCCATCTGAAGCCGGTGACTGGGAAACTCGGTTGATGGTGACCAGGGAAGGGTGCTGGGAACCAGTGGGAACCAGTGGAAATACCTCTGTTGATGGGTTTTTCTGGATTTTTTGGCACCAAACTGCGGAAAAATCCATGGGGATATCATTGATAAATGACTGGTCAAAAAGGTGAATTGGGAGTTACAGGACCAAATTTATTGGGGATTATGATAACCCAGAGCAGGAAAACCAATGAACCAGCTAGTATTTCATGAGATGGGATAGGGATATGACAGAAAATGACGTCTATCCATGGCCAGAAACATGGGAAAGATGATAAAAGCATGGGAAATGTGGGAACTTTGGGTCGCCAGTAGAGTTGCCAGTTCGAGTCAGCGATCTGATATCCTCCCAGTGAAAATGTATCCTGGACATTTTTCCTCTACCCTCCCCAAGAAAGATATGGGGTTATCTCAAAATTTGGGAGTTTCATTCCATGTTTTCAACTGCCAAAAAGAAAGAGACATGTATCGAATTTGAAATACTACAAGAAATAGTGGTAAATTATACCATTGCTATTTTTTTGGGGGTTACAATATATGTGTTTAATCATCCTGAAGTAGATAGACTGTTGAATTTTCGAACAACTATCTAACACCAAATTCTAGTGATTTAAGTGTCGGTTGAAATTATCTGCTAAAATTCTAGCTATGACAATATATGGAGGTCTCCTGAAATGGTGGTAGCCCTAAAATGATGACAAATCACTAAAAAAGGCATCCAAAATACATATCTACCGTATATTTTCTGTGGTTTTGGTGCTTGTTTATGGTACCTGTACCCTCATATCTACACTACGTATATGCTTTGTGATCATCCCCATGAAACCTTGGCGTTCTTGCCGTCGCCAGGAAGAAGGTGGAAAGAAATTGCTGAAGGCGGTGGGTTCGGGGAAGTTTTTCTGTGATAAATCACAGAAAAACTATGGTGGTGAAGGTGGTGAAACTATGGTTTTTTAGCACTAATGAGGCTCGAAAAACTCGAAGCTTAAACAATGTTAAACTAGAAATGTGAGGCTCTAACTCGAACCGAAATAAATTGGCAGCCAGAGCCCATGAGCCTATTTTGGTATAGCAAGCACCAAAAAGATAGAACAAGGGAAATGAATCACTCAAGCCTGCTGGGACCTCTTTGGTCTCCAGGTTTTGGTCTCAGGATGCTGGTTGAGTTGGTTGAATGATGCTTCCGACAACTTTTGAAACCTGGGGCTTGCGTCGTTGTCATCTGCTCAGAGTTGTGACCGGACAGAGTTGAATCTTCTAAACCAAAAGCGTGTGATAGGAAAGATTGCTTTAGGACCAGTAAACACAACTATGTTAACCACAGATTGATAAGCTTATAAACCCATGTTAATTCACAGGGCGGTACCAAATTTGAAAGTAATTTATCACTATTTGGACCTATTGATAAACTGAGGTTTATTGATCCAGGGTTGTCTGCTTGGAATAGCCTCTTCAATCCTCGATTCGGGGACCCCTTCACACATCCAATGGTCGATATCATGATCATACATGAGCTTGTGGGTTGCCCTATTTTCAATTAATCCCATTCAGAGCTGTGTGATAATGATGAGGAGTAGCTGCTCACTATTGGCTCAATATATTTCAGCGTCTGTTTGTTTAACTCGGTTGGATAGTGGACACCATTTTTATTGCCAGTGGACTGGGTATATGGACCCCATCATTAAACCATATTAAACTCCATTTTTGGACAGCATTATACTTTGAACATTCCATTTGCCAATAATGTTCAAAACTATTATAACACTGGGTATTAACAATTATTCCTGTCCAATACTTAAATGGAACATAATCACCATTATTGTCCATTTACGCAATGGATTAGTTATTGTTGATCCACATATTGTCCATAGGTATAGGTGTGCAGTGCTAGCTATTGCTTTCATATTTTCTTATAAAACTGGTAGACCCCACTGGTTAAACCCCAGCTACGAATGGTTTAACCATGAAAATTCTAGGAGTTCAGCCACTTAACAAGAACAGTTAGACTCAGTTTAGTTTAATTCATTAATTCTAGGAGTTCAGCCACTTAACAAGAACAATTAGACTCAGTTTAATTCATTAATTCTAGGAGTTCAGCCACTTAACAAGAACACTTAGACCAAATCACAAGTTCAAATCAAATCTGGTTGGTGCCTTGGAGCATGAAAATTTATTGTTCCATTCAGTTGGGAATTTCATCATCCCAACTGACAAAGTCGTATTTTTCAGAGGGGTAGGCTCAAACCAACCCCCAACCCAGAAATTTTTCTTCGACCGGATTCGAAGCGTTTCTAGTTGAACCCCCAATGGTTACCCAACGCGGCTGCCACAACCGTGGCTTGCTGGACAGGGGATTTCCCAGCGATCCACGATGAAATCAGAGGATTGGTATACCATTCATCACCATTATGAATCATTACCCTCTGGTTATGTCAAAATAGCTATTGAACATGACCATTTATAGTGGATTTACCCATTGAAAATGGTGGATCTTTCCATAGTTAGGTTAGTTTACCAGAGGGTATCATTAACCATTATTAAAATGGAATACCATGATAACCATGATAATCATGAAAACCATAATGGCGATGAATGGTATTATTTATAATAACTATCATTAACCATTATTCAAATTATTCACCACTCATCACCATTAAAAAAAAACATCCATAAATAAAATCCCTATGATTAACAAGTATTAATCATTATTCACCACTATAATCCATAAGAATCCATAGATTTGTGCTTCGATCCCTGGGTTCGCCACGGGTGCAGGAAGGTCCTGACGATGGTTTGCCACGTTGGTTCCTGGAGCTGAATGTGGCAGGAGAACGTTGCGAGGGAGTGCAGCAAGGGATTTCTGGTTATGTTTTGGGCTGAAACCAAGGTCAATGGAAAGGTCCACAATTTTTAATGGCTAAATCAAGGAACTCAATGGCCATTTTCAATAGCTTTTTGTATGTTTACCAGAGGGTCAGGGACAATTTCCGGCGATTTTGCCTCAAAATCCATTGAAGAGTTTTTTTTTGCTGTACATATAGTAAGTGAAACAACATCAACCACTGATGTACCTTATGCAAGTTAATTAAACCAATTTTTGTGGATTGAATCATGGCAAAGGCTGAGATTTCGCCAACAATCTTTGTTGATCACTCTAAATCACTGCTTGGTGGTTTGGAACATGACTTTTTAATGGGATTTCATGGTGTTTTTAATGGGATATAATGGGATATAATAATCAATAATGGAACATGGCTGGATTATGACTTTCCATTCAGTTGGGAATTTAATGATCCCAACTGACTTTCACTCCATCATTTTTTCAGAGGGGTAGGGCGAAAAACCACCAACCAGATCAACAAACATGTGGATTCTGTTGAAAGAAAAATGCCGATTTAAGCCTTATGAGAAAACCTTGGATTATGTGGAACTGAAGCGCCCCTGGATGGCCAGGATTTGAGCCGGACCTGACCTTCTATAGCATCTTGGGCGCCTGTAAAAGTGCTGCCCCACATTGCCCCATAGTTCGCAAACTTGGTCTATAATGACTAGGTAACTAGGGTGGATGGAGGATATAGCTACTATGGTTTAGTTTATAAACAAAATTATAACTTGGGCGGGGGCACCAGCTTGCGTAAAAGTGAAATAGACAACCCCACTTTGGATCACCTACAGCCCCAGGCCGCACAAGATTGTTATACCACTACCAGTGTTGGTTGATAGAACCCTCATTTCTGAGCCACCACTTTGAGCGGTGTCAAGGATGTACATCGAAAATCTTAAATAATGGTTGGCGGATACACACACACACATATATATATAGTGAAGGATAGTAAAGGATAGTGTAAGCCCCTACAATATACGCCCCTGTAATCATCAATCAATGGTAATGTATCAATGATCTCCATATATCTGTGAGGCAAAATACACCCGTTTTTGTGATGGTTGAATCCCCAAACGGCTAATGGATGCTGTGCCACCTTACATAGGTCCTTTTTTTGCCTGCCAACGTGTGCATCTCATCATATTTAATATATATATATATGTATATATATGGTTGAATATACCCATAATATCTCTAAGGCATTCCCATACAAGCACCATAAAATCTCCCTAGACTCTCATACGCTCGCCTATTCAATCTCCATAGATGAGCGACAACAGCTCCACAAGATGGTACATTTCCAGCCCTCTCAGGGCCCAGGGCGCCCAGGGCCCAGCTCACCATGAGTTTCTCCCGTGAGAAGTTAGGCTCACTGGATTGGTTTGAGGGAAAATCTTAACAGGAAACCCATGGTAAAAAAGGGCTTAAACCAGTAAATTTTCCCATCATCCAATTCTATGATAGGCCCCCCAGTTATAAGTTGGTTTATAAACCATTATCACCACCATTAACTATAGTTATATCTACCATAAACCATAGAATTCAGCCACTTTTTTCAGGCAACTTCATCGAAAAGGCCGCGCAACGTGGAGATCTGCGCGCGGCCGAGCGCTGGTTGTCCAACGCGCAGAACGCCAAGTTGGAGCCAAACGGGACGCTTGGGCCATTGGGTCAGAAACCGATAGCCTCTGGTAAACTAACAGTTTGCAAACTGGAAAATCACCATTTTCAATGGGAAAATCCACTATAAATCACCATAACTATGGAAAATCATCATTTTTAATAGGTAAATCAACATAAATCAACTATGTCTATGATCATTTTCAATAGCAAACTGTTAATCTACCAGAGGGTATATCAAGGGTATATCAAGATAAGTCATCCATAAATGGGGATGTTCAATAGTTATGTCAGATTACCGGATGGCACAGGACTTACTACTTCAAATCATTTCCCTGGTAGTAACAGCTATGGAGAAAGAACATCATCTATAAGTGTGCCATTGTCCACCGCTCTATGTTAAATGACCAAAGGGTATTGGATATTATTCCAAGGGGTCAACCAATATGTCTACGCTTATATATAGGGATTTCACCATATTTAACCACTGAACATGGGGATATAATGGGGATACAGTAGGAAGGTAGTAGTGATGTCATGAAGATGTAATGGGTAATTGGGATGCAATCATTGAGCCTTGGTGAAACTTACTTTGATCTTTTGCCACCAGTTTTTTTTGAGGCTGGGTATTGATGTTCAAAGGAACAATTAGATACGGCATTAGATACCCTCTGGTAATTTAACATAGCTATTGAACATTGGCTATTTATAGTTGATTTCCCTATTAAAGATGCTGCGTTTCCATAGCTATGTTAGTTTACCAGAGGATAATCCCAGGATTTCTACTACCCTCCAAGAGAGAAGCAACCAAGTCTGTTGTGGCAGATGGGTGACACAAGCGTCTACCTCCATATGCTTATGTAGTGTAGAGAGCTTATCAACAGAGGAGATGCACTAAAGCATCATCAAAAAGGCGTGTTTGGCTGGGAAAATCATCAATGGCTATATATATATATTGGAATATAGTCGGCAAAGATGCTGCTTCCCTATCAATATCGGCATGAGACGGAACTATACAAATTATCGAAGTGATGCCAGAAATTTTGATGCTTGGGGGCTCTAGGTCGTGACATTGACGGAAGATTTTTTTTGTGTGTTACCCTCTGGTTATTTAACATAGCCATGGAAAATGGCTCATTTCTTGATGGTTTACCTATAAAAAATGGTGATTTTCAATAGCTATGTTAAATAACCAGATGGTAAATCATCTATCAATGGAGCATTTTCATCCATTTTCACCGGAGGGTTAGCATGTCTAGGGTCTCCTGGTACCGGTTGGAAATCATCTTCCAAGCAACCGTCACCAAGCAACGAAGGGCTTGTGGATCTGTCCAGCAACCTTCGATAGAAAAGTCACTTAGGTCTAGGCATATAATAGTGATATTTATTAGTACTATAAAGATAGAAAAGTAACTTAGGTCTTAAGTCTTAAGTATATAGTAACTTAGTTCCAAAAGATAGAAAAGTAAAGTTACATCTGTGCATCACTTTGGATTTTACCAAATGAATCTGGCACAAAATGCCATAGCCTCAGGTCATTTTTCCAGATCTGAGGCGAATCTTCAGCTTTCTATGTCTGGCAGCCTCCAAATCCGGCGAACTGAAGCTTAGCTGGGGGTATCCCCTACGGTAGGGTAATGACGAACAGTTTGCGAACTGGAAAATCACCATTTTTAATAGGTAGATCCACTATAAATCACCATTTTTAATGGGTAGATCCACTATAAATCACCATTTTTAATGGGTAGATCCACTATAAACCACCATTTTTAATGGGTAGATCATCTATTTCTATGGGCCATTTTCCAGTTCGCTATGTTAAATTCGCCGAGGGTGAATCCTTCAAGTCATGGATGACCCATTAGGTGATCAGAATGACCATTCATTAGGGGATCAAGTCATGGTTTAACATAGGATGACCATGTTTGAAACTGAAACTGTTAAACCGATGCTTTTTTTTTGTTCCCCTGTTTTAAGAAGCCACCATATCTTCGTTTTCGGAAAAAAGTAGGTATATTTCGGTGATCAGACGTGGCTGGCTGGAAAATACCCGTAATACATGGGTTTAGTAGGAAAATCCATCGATAAACGGAGGATTTTTCCATTGCCACATTTGATGACCGGAGGGTATCTGGTTGGTGGTTTGGAACATGAATTTTATTCTTTCATATATTGGGAATTTCATCATCCCAACTGACTTTCACATTTTTCAGAGGTGTAGGTATACCACCAACCAGATATATAGAATATCACATAATCACATATGGAAGCCTGGAATCCTGGATAAGGTACAGCATCCAGCAATTCATTGTTTGATTTTCATATTTTTGTCATCCATTCCTGGGTTCCTTTTTCAGACTGGACGGCCCAGCTTGCGTATTATGATGATTTACTAAGGGATGGGTATACATGTATGGATCGACATGGAAGTTTCCTAAAATGGGGTACCCCACTAGCTGGATGGTTTATTTCATGGTTTAAATACGTTTAAATACTATTAAATATTAAATACTATTACCCTCTGGTGAACTAACATAGCAATGGAAAATGGCCATAGAAATAGTGGATTTTCCCATGAAAAATGGTGGATCTTTCCATTGCAAATTGTTAGTTCACCAGAGGGTAACATGGATGATGACTGGGGGTACCCCTATGACTTCGGAAACCTCCGAAACATCCCGTGGCCCCATCCTGCCCCATCCACAGCACCCATGCGCTTCCCAGGAGTGCCGCGGCGAACTATGGTGAGAGAGCTGCTCGATTGGGTGCTTTGGACGCCAACAGGGCCGTTGCTGTTGCTGTTTGAAGGAAGCTAAACGGTTAGAACTGGGATAATGTTGGCCTAGGATATATATATATATATACATACATTTACATATACACACATATACGTATATATATATATATATGTGTGTGTGTACATATATATATATATAATACACACGTATGTACATAGCACCCCCAGTCTATTTATTGGGGGGTAGTAACTTTGATACTTTGTCACACGTGATTCTGGTAACTTCCCCTTTTTTCATGGTCAGGGTTTATAAATCCGGGTTGGCAATGCAGCCCCAAATAAAGCCAACCTGGAACCCCAAATTATATCGCGATTCCTAGGAGAAAGTTCATCTTCCAGAACCCATTCCAAAGCCAGTGATGATCGTGGCTGTGACTGGAATGTGTGTTGAGGCATAATCCAAGATATACATAGTTGATCATAGTTGGAAGGCTGCAAGGCATCAGTCTACCATTCGATAAACTCATTGGTGACTATATGGAGGTTTCCTAAAATGGGGGTACCCCCAAATCATCCACTTTAGTCGGAGTTTCCCTTATGAACCATCCATTTTGGGGTACCCCACCATTTTAGGACACCTCCATATCTTGAAGGATGCGCTGTGCTCTTATGAATTGATGTACATGGCAACTGGGGTGATCCTGAGTTAATCATCTTCCCAAGGAAAATCAACATTTTTTTTTCGTTTTTACAGAGACACCCAAATATTAGATTGCTGACTGTGTATCATGATTAGTGATCCCCCAAAACAACAATTACCCTCTGGCTATTCAACATAGCCATGGGAAATGGCCCATTTATAGATGGTTAACCAATGGTGATTTTCCATGGCTGTGTTAGTCATAACCAGATGGTAATCACCAATTTAATCACCATTAAAACACCATTGAATCACCATGATCCACCCTAGTAATATCGCTGGGTGTCCTGGTGGATAATTTGTACCTCATGGCTGACCTCATGATGATCATGGGGAAGAATCTCCCGAACTGGTCAAACAAATGGGATGCATCATACATTATCCAGAACTACATACATGTATATGATATATATGTATGTATACATTATCATCATTATCATATATTCTGGCACAAAAACATGTGGATTTTGGGATATCCCCACTTTTGTTGCTCGGAGCAACAAGTGTTTGCTGCTCGCTGGTTTTGCCAAAACTCTGACGACTGAGGTGAAGCTCTGGACAAGACTTTGCAGATCAAACTCTTATCTCAGGCAACTGCAGCTGCATCTTACCCTACGGTCCTATAAATAATGGGATAAACCACCCATCAACTGGTGCACGATTTCTTCCATCCACAGTATGGTAATTTAACATAACTATGGAAAATCAGCATTTTAGTAGGGGAATCATCTAATTCAACCTGTTTATTTCCAAACTAGCTCTGTTAAATTACCAGCCGGTACTGGATGTCCACGAGGAAGCCATCCCCAACTTCCAGAGATGTTCCATGTCTTGGGATAGCAAAAAAGAAAAAGTGCTGTAGATCACATTGCAAACGATTGCTGTCAGGATTTTATAAAAGAGATTTGACCTGCACAGGGCTGTTTTGTCGTGAAGGACTGCGGAAGCAAAACTTTTTACAACAGATGGGTAGACCATGGTAGACCCACTTACTAAATCTTACTAATTTACATGTGTAGATATACATATATACACTGCATATATATATATATATACATACTGCATCTCTCTCTCTCTCTATATATATATATGTATCAATATCTACACTCGTCTTACTTTCTGATTCTCGGTTTCTTATCGCCGGTTTTTTTCACTTTTGGTGGCGTTTAAGGCCTGCTTATCGCCCTAGGCCTTGGACGAGAGCAAACTGGATCTGGTGGAACGCTTCTTTTCCTTCGGTGCTGAGCCCGCAAATGTGAGCACCTACGAATCGGTGCTGATGGCTGCGGCCAGCAATCGAGATCTGGTCTTCGCGGAAAGGCGTTTTTTGGATGGGTTACAAATCGTCCTTAAGTGGTTTAGTATGGGGTAATGATGGTTAATCATGGTTAATGATGGTTAATCATGGTTAATAATGGTTAATAATCACTGGTTGGTGGTTTGGAACACGGCTTTTATTTTCCATTTCATATATGAAATGTCATCCTTCCCATTGATTTTCATATTTTTCAAGATGGTTATTGCACCACCAACTAGCTTTGTTTGGGGAGACACCAACAAGTCGACCGTTTTTCTTTGCCAATTGGATGAGATGGTGGTCTTCTTGGTGTCGTGCCGCGCCCTGCACTGTTTGTGAGAATGGGGTCTCCTTGAACTGAAGTGAAATTGATATATCCACCATCAGCCAAACACATTGACAACATTTAAGACAACTAGACATGCTCTGAAATTCAAAAAAATATTGATTTTGATGAAGAAACACCTGAAACCAAAGATTCAAGACCTAGCAATGTAGCAGCAATGAGGCTGAATATGGTTTTAGTATTGTTTTAGTTAATACTGTGATGTATAAAAGACATATGTCCTTCGATTTTCATGAAGATCATCCAAATTTCATGGAAGAAACTCTGAAAGTAAGGATCCTGAAAAAAACATCTAAACATTGTCATTTAAAGTTTAAACCAGACATGGCAGTGGTCCGTCTCCGCGGGTAGCTTTTGAAGGTGGTTGAAACGAGCCGAGGACGCTGAAAGGCCGGGAATCAATAGAATTTGGGGTTTCTTTTCGCATTCCCATTCAATTTCGATTTTTCGATTTACTATGATTTATACTATGATTTACTCACAAAATGAGGCTGCTGGAAACGATTCATTTTTGAAACCGGATCTTTTGGGCTAATGAACCCCAAACGCTGCTGTGACAATGTCCAGGTATGTGAACCCCTCCGTTCTTGTGGCTCTGATGGACGCTGCTGCCTCGGAAGGTGTGGCTGCCAACGTGGTTTTTTTGGCCCCCAAAAAGGATAGGAAAGTATCAATTTCCTAGCACGATACTATACAACCAATTGGTTTTCAGCTGTTCTCTCTATCTTTGGGGCTTGCTATTGGCACATTTTTTTTTTTCATTTTGTTCTCCCATTGCCATTTGGATTAAACTTTAGCGTTCAATCATGGGATCGGTGAGTACTTGGGATCAAAGCACATCCCAATGGACCTTGTAATGATTGTTGAACAGATTTAATGATTTTAATAAACTAAGCCATAATTAGTCTATTGGTGACTCTAAGGGTGGTGATCTAAATATAAGCCTCATTAAATCAAAGTATTACTCTGAGTATCTAAACGTGTTGATGTTAGTCTAAAGCAGATTGGTTGGTGCTCCAAGCTCCACAGGCAACTTGTCGATGACGGAGCGCTTCTTCGACTTCGGGGAAGCAAGTCACGGAGCAGTGATGGCGGGGTTCAACCATTGACTTACTGGTGAAAAACGTAGGGAATGGGGGAATGCGATGATTGTTGATGGATGTTAATGGTGATTATAGACCATTCACCCATTTACGTTCAGCAGCAGTAAGTTGAACATGGAGAATCAAGAAAGAAGAACTTGAATTTATTCTCTCCACACACGAGCTAAGTTTGGTGTTCATGTGTCGTGAACTGCTCGTTTGCTAGGATCTTCCGGTTACCAGGAATCAGACGATTCGCAGGGCAAGCCGCAGAGTTTTGGGGTATGGAAGAACACCAACCTGTCCAGAGGTGGTGCTGATATCAACAAACCCATCGAGAGAATGACTTGATCGAGAGATGTTTGCTGGTGCTGGTCAATGCTGGTCATGACTATTACATACCGGGTTAATAACCGTATATAAATAAATAAATATATATATATATATATCTATCCCATTGTTGTCCATTCCAAGAAGCCAAGTTTTTGCAGCTTCTTCTCCCATTCTGTTGCTTCAAATCCCTGAACACCATCTTGTTTGCTTGCCATCGTTTTCCATAGTATCATTCCCATAATCCACATTGTCTTTCACCAGCACCTTCCAAGCCCCGCTTCATTTTTGGTTTGCTGCCCTCTACAGGTTCAACCTGTCTGGTTCCATCCATAGATTGAAACATATTGAAACCATGCGGCCAAATACTGTCCCACCATGTTTTTCAACTATCCCAAACTATCCCATCAACTGACATGACATTCCCTAAGTTTGATGGTATTCATATATCTATATATCTATCATATCTATCCTTATTCTTGTGCTAAACGTAATGAGCGAATGATCCACGTGGCGACCCACGTGGCTCCCAGGTGGCATCCGTCGAGAGATGGCCGCCTTCAACGTGCTGATCAAGGCGGCCGCCCTGGCGCGGCGCCCCCCGGCCGCGGAGTACTGGTTCTTCGAAGCGCGACGGGAAGGCGACGCGGCTGCCGCGGGAGAACGTTGGGGGGATTGGGATGGCTATGGGTTGGGCAAAACGGCAATGAGTGAAATGATTGAGATAGATTGAGATAGATTTAGATGATGAATTTCGACGAACTTTAATGATTGACATATATTGACATATTGACATGATTGAGATGATTGAGATGATTAATTTTGGCTAATTTTGAAGGGTGCAAGTCACTACTCACCGGGATTCGACAGGATCATGCATTGTTCATGAGTCGCATTGGTCGAATAGCATCACAGATCAAAAACAATCACTAAATCGGATCCAAATTGTGAATTTGCCATGGTATACTCATGAATTTTGCTTGCATTCAATCCTGGGTTTTGACTTATATCTACCACATGGTCTTAAGTCTACTCCCATATTATTGATTATTCTTACATAGGTATTTTTTGTCTACAAAACCCCATATACGAGCCTGTATCATATTATATTATGTTATATTATATTATATTAAAATTATATTATATTATATTGTATTATATTGTATTATATCACTTTATATCACAGTATATCACATGATCTCACATTATGTTATTATTAATGCAATCACATTATTGTTTGAATCATCCTTGCGGTACAAATCGACTTCATTTCGCTAAGATCACCACTTCTCGCAGGGAAGATCTGTGAACAAGCATGTACAGCAACCCCCAAAGATAGAACAAGAAAACATCATCATAATTCGAGTCGGCTTTTACTTTCTTGTAAGAATATGGGAGTAGAATAACTACCTATGTAAGTAATTATTCAACCCCCAAAAATGGTAATTATTCAACCGCCAAAGACTCCATAATTTCAATTTTTCTTAACTTTTAATTTGTTGGATTTGTTAAGTTGGGTCTTAATTAAGTCTATTTTCTTAACATGTTAATTCCATTGTTATCTTAACAATTAATTGTTGTGTTACTTCAGAAAGGCTATTTTGCCCATCAAAAGATGGAGCCTTAGCTATCGCTGAACTGATGGGGTCAGTTCCGAAGGCATCGTCTTGGATGATTTTGTACGAAAATTCCGAATGGCCAGAGGTAGGTGATCCTTTATCTTAGTAACTTACCCTCTGGTGAACTAACATAGCAATGGAAAATGGCTATTTATAGTGGATTTTCCCATTAAAAATGGTGATTTTCCATTGCTATGTTAGTTTACCAGAGGGTAGTAGCTTATGTATGTGTATATGTATATATATATATATATATAATATGTCACCCATTTTTGGGTTGTGCCATTTTTACTGCTCATTTTGAGCCAGTTTCGGTCTCCGCTGTATTTACATGTCAATATCTTTGAGCCATTGGATAGTTTACAATGGAGAAAGCTTGGCTATTTCAGATTGGACCCAGCTCCTTCACAGCCAAAAAAAAAGGGGCACGAAAGATTGACCTCCCAAAAAATGGGTTGGACATGGTCGGACCAAGCATACCATACCAGGCCTCCAGCCTTCCCTGATCACCTACACCTCGCTGATCAAAGCCTCAGCGCAGACGGGCGATTTGTTCAGTGCCGAAGCCTGGCTCCGAGCAGCCGAGAGCTCCGGGCTGCGGCTGGACATCCAGATCTTCACGGCGGTGATCGATGCGGCAGCACGTGCGGATCCAAATGGGAGAATTGATGGGGAATTTTAGTCAGGAATAAACATTTACGTATAGTATAATCCAAACTGGATAGATACACATATCTATACACATATATATATATATATATAAAGAATTTGATCTCTGTTTGATTTATTTTCAACGATTGATTTACATGTTTTTTTTGAGAGTGCCTCATTTTGAAGGAAAATCCAAGAGAGAAAACAAGATTTGGTAGGGGTATATAAAATTAGGATTGGGATGATGGTTGTTGGGATGATAGTCGGATAAATGACAGATTGGTGATCACTTTCTATAATTTTGTATCACTTTGAAGCGAGGTAAACTCCGGAATAATCGTGGTTGACATTCGCCCACCCAGTGTTGAGACTAGATCTGCAAATGATATGTTTGAAGGGAACCTGCTTGACGCGCTTTTTTGTTTGTCTAAATATCATATATATATACATACATATATAATCATATATAGATATATACATATATGTATCATATATATATATAATTATGATGTCCTTTCAAAAATTTGCCTCAAGTCGGAAAACATGGACCGTTTTTGTTGAATGAGTTGAATGCGGAAAGATGGCGAGAAAGGTGTTTTGCTACGAATGGTTGGGTTGGTTCTCCGTGGAACACGGAACAATGATGCTGTAGATGGAACAAATAGGGCACCAATGGAACAAAAAGTTGGTAAACATATGAGTTTACATCATTTTTCGTACTTAGCCTCTCCATTAAAATAGATGATAGACATGATGATTTACTTCTTAAGAATGGTGATGGATTCCACTTCGCAAAGCGTTGAATCATCAGATGCGAACAGACACCAGGCGCTGGAAATCTCTCCGCTGCGGAGAGTTGGTTTCAGAGGCGTGGGAAAAGCAGCCGCGTAAGTTGTAGGAATGATAAGCATTCAATGGCCATTCCAGGAACCGATTGATTGGAGGTACCGATTCCATATATAAGGCCTATTTTTCAGGCCTAAATTTCAGGGAATATTCCCCCAAAATATGGCCTGGAATATGGTACAGTACCTCCATTTTAGGATCCTGAAATTCCCATTGAATCATCTAGCTGAAGTACTAGGTGGTGACACATTATGACATAGTCGGAGAGTTAGTTATATAGCTAGATGATGCTAAATTGGTTCATAACTATCATTATAACCGAGGGGTTATGATATGTATATTGATTTATCCATCATGATCTAAAAGTGGGCGTGTCGTGTGTTGATGAGTTGAAACCGCTAGATGATGATCCCGATATCTTCCCTATACTTCCAATAGAAATACGATGGATGGTTGCGAAATCCTGCACCGACAAGTGGTTTATCCCATGATTTTGTTTGGGTTTCAACCATCCTTTTGGTGATGTAGGATTTCGCTGGCCCATCCACAGTATCATCTACAAAAACTGTTTAGTAGACATTAGGATTTTATCATCCACCTAATCTGGCACTAAATCCAACATAATCTGGTGATGTAGGATTTTGTCTAGTGCCAGATTAGGTCATCACAGCGTAAACGGTCCTCTTTCACGCCAACAAACTGACGATCGTTGACGCGTGGATCACCAGATCTGGTGATGGTCATGCAGTTTGGGGTACCGATTGAGGACGGAGGTACCGATTCCATATATAAGGCCTATGTTTTTGGGCTATTTTTGAGGGAATATCTCCAGAACATATTGCCAGAACATATTGCCAAAACATTTGCCAAAACTCTGGAAAACTCACGTTCTTCCAATGGATGATTCAGGTGTGAGCAGGTGGGGAAGCCCAGTATCGTGACCTTCAACACCATCCTGAGCGCCGCCTGCCGCTCTTCAGATGCAGAGGCGAAAGGCGCCGCTATCGAGCGCTGGTTTCGCCGCTGTGAAGCTTCAGGGAGCAGCCCGAGACATGGATGGGAAATGGGGATGGGTCAAAACCTATTATTACCATATTTGGAAGAATCAACATCCATTAACCAGCTATTTTAGGTACCATCCGGGTGCCAGGGTTTTGACTCACAACCAAATGCCAGGGGAGAGACATTGGAAATATGAAAGCTTGATCTCAAAGAAAATGATCCTGCGAGGCAAAATGTCTAGAGTCTAGAGTTTAAGACGTTTTAGCGTTAACATCCTGGAAAACCCTATAAACATTTTGCCTAGAATGATCATGATTTCCAAGACAATGCAAAAAGGCGTACTTTGACGCTTCAGAATTGGGATGAATCATCATTTTTCAAACAAAATAGGAATTTTGCCAGCAAAGTGTAGATCATTTCGTGAAGATGTTCCGATTTTAGCCGCCCAAAGAATGGGGGGTATGGTTTGAGCAACAAGCTGTGAGTTTTCAAACAATGCAAAGGATTTTGATGTTGGTTGCGTTTGAAAATACTGAGGATCAAAGTGAATTTTGAGCAAAAAACAATGGCTCTTGAACGAACAATTTGGCAGGGAATGCCTTTCCTACCAACAAAAATAGATCCTTTAATAACCAGTAAGTGATGAAGCATTCGACTGGGAGAACCTTGCCACAATGGATGTGATGAAACATTCAGTTGACACAGAACTTCAATGCCATGGTTGGATGGCACGATCGGATTGCCGGTTACCGAGGAACATCAAGACCTTTAACATCCTGATGAATGCTGCTGCCAATCGAAACGACTTGAATGCCACTGAACACTGGTTTCAAGTGGCCTTGACCAAAGGTATACAGCCTGATAGCGCGATGCTGACTCTCGCCGATGTTACTCAATCCTCAAGCGACATTGTTTTTGGCGTCCCCCCATAGGAGTATCACGTTTCATCTACGCTCTGGTAATTTCACCCATGGAAAATGAGCCACTTGTAGATGATTTTCCCATATTTTCCCATTTATCCATGAATTAACATGAAATAACTATCCCATATGGGAATTTCTGATGAATTCAGTCATTTTCCGTCCCATTCGATGATTTTAAACACGGCCATTGTACAGCACGGCAATCGACCTGATGGCTTTGGGCTTTTCGGGGTAATTGGGACACCAATCTGAACTAGCAACTGGCCGACAAGTAATTCTGCTTGGGTATGTCCCAGATTGAAGTTGTAACATTCATGAGGTTTATGATGACTAGGCAGATCACGTTGGACGATCATCCAAGCAGCTTGTTTTGTTCGGATTCCTGGCAGTATTTTCCGCTTCTTTTGCCCTCAACAACCCATTTGCAGATGCCTTTTCTTTATACGGATCCCTATGGTATTTTAACCTGGTTATGGAAAATCACAATGTTTAATTCTGTTTAATAGGTAAATCATCACAAATAATCTAGAAATTGGCAATTTGCCTGAGCCAACCGTTAAACAACCAGAGGGTAATTCCCTAAAAACGGGTGAATGTTTCAACCCGTCAGGTTTGATCCCAAAATTGACTCTCGCGCTTCCCAGGACCCTGTTGCTGACCATGCTGCTGCAAAACGGCTCCTTGGTGGATGCAAATGTGGCCCTGGTGGATGCATTTGGGTGGCCATTTTGGGTGACCTGTGTCAAAAATGGCTCTCCCATCGAGCATACCCCAAAGTCATGGCCATTTGACAAGGGAATTTTGCCAATGGATTTGGGGTGGTTGGCCCATTTTTTAAAGCCAAATTGATTGTCCAGGGGACCAGAATAGTTCGGTCCCCACTCTATAAATCCCTACTTGTGTCAATCCATGTTTGTCAATTCAATTCCCAGTTTGGTCACCCAGTTTGGTCAGTGAAATTATCATTCTTCCCAGCAATTTCACAGTTGAATTCTCATTTTCACCTGGTTTCTACCGTGTTTTGCAGGTGGAAATCTTGGGGTCCGGGTCATCCCTGGTGCAGGTGATGAGGTGGCGGCCTCGCGTTGGTACAGCGCTGCCAAGCACAGGTCCGTGCGCCTGACGAACAGCTCGCTGGCGGGCATTGCCATTGCTGCAGCGCGCAAAGGCGAGATTGGGTCTGATTTTGGGGTAGGGAGAGTTGTAAATATATCAATCTGATTGGATCTGATTGGTGGTTTGGAACATGGCTTTTAGTTTTCCATATATTGGGAATATATAATCATCCCAACTGCCTCTCACTCATATTTTTCAGAGGGGTAGGTGTACCACCAACGAGCAAGTAGTAAAGAAGATCTTCGGGAATCCGGAGTTTGCCATCTCTAAAAAATCTCGGGATGTATGGGGAGTTCAGCCATTTGCCATCCATTGTTGTAACAAATGACCCGAGGGGCAGTGAAACATAGTGGTTTGACAGGGATACTAATGGGATGTTGACGGGATACACATATATATATATATATAAGTTGCGGGATAGTTAGGGAATAGAATGGGTAATTGATATGGATTGATAGGGTATGGTTAAGAATGACTGGGGAAATGGTAGAAACCCTCAAATGACTTGGGGAACCATTTCCATCAACGAGTAAGTCAGGAAACCACTATGATGATTGTGAGGCTTCCATCGAACCTTTGATTTCCATCCCTCAATTTCCTTCAATGACTGGGGGACACCCTAGTCATGCAACATGTTTGTCCGCCAAAAAGCGGGGGAATTCATCAACATTCATCAACCATACTTGAAGGGTTGGGACACCAATCAGGACCTGGTTTATGATCCTGGTTGGTAAATTTGCTAAATCCCCAAGTCCTAGGCTTGCCCCCCAAAAACAGCTGGGTGAACTATCGGCAGTTACATCCGCAGTTGCGTGAATTGAAACCAATCTCCATCAACCATCAATGGACTAATATATATATATAATATGTAAACGGAGGTATATTGCCAACAAACGGGAAATAAAAGGGATCCAACCCCCTCATACTGAAAAGATACGCCAAGATTCTGGTGAACTTACGGAGACGACCTCACCCGTCTCCGTGAAGGATGGTGAGTTTTGGGTTACCATCTGGTCATGACGTTAGCCATGGAAAGATCCACCCATTTTTAATAGGTAAACCATCTATCAATGGGCCATATATACCATGGCTATGTTAAATAACCAGAGGGTATCCCAAAATAACCCAATGCTGCAGCTGTTCTACGTACGTTCTGGCAGGGGTTGTTGCCTCGTTGCCGGCCAGTGCTATTAGACTCTACATTAAGATATGGATGACATTCTTGTTGAACAGCCACCACTGCGACATTTGGAGATATTTTGAGTCTTACCGTGTACCAACATGGCGTTCATTTCCCGTTCCGTGTACTAACATGGCGTTCATTTCCTGTTCCGGCTGTGCATCCAAGCTCTCCATAGCTTTCCCGTTCACCTCTCAGTGACCGGGATCAGAGGCAAGTTGGACTTTTCCAAATCCATTGTGGAAGATGGGCATAAGATGGGTCTGAATTTCAGCGTAGCCACCTATGCGACTCGGAGATGCACGGTATGGGGCAGGTTTTCCGTTTTAGAGATCGGAGGAATCGGGGGTGGTGACTGGTGGGGTCGATTGCAACATGCTTTGTTTCATTTCAATAAGTGGGTGTGTTTAAAAGATTTTAAAAGGGTTGAATGCCTAACCAACAACTAGCTGGTTTCAATCGGTTCTTGCCGTTTTTGCTTTCAAACCTGGAGCGGATATAACATTTCAAATGTTTATCTCATGTTTTTGACGATATAACATGATATGTTTAATGACATAAACACCTATTTCAGATATATAAGAAAAAATAAACACATGAGATGGCTATGATACAGCACCATGACCTCTTCGGATGTGAGTATAGCCACTGAAGTCTGAAGTCCTTTGATTTTTGATGTCATGAAAAAACCATGTCTTTGAATGGCCATTAAAAGCCTTTTAAAGACATCTAAGTTAGATGGGTGTGAATCTATGTGAATCTGGTCATTAAGATGTGAATCATGGTAATTAAAGGATCCATGGTGCTGGTATATATGCTAACATTGGGGGTATATTGATGGGATCCATGTTACCATATATAGCAGCACCATGGATCCTATGGGTGGTAATTAAAGCATACCAAAATTAGGCAAATCATTATTTTCCCCAATAGTTGAGATGATGATCCAATCTGACTTTCATATTTTTCAGAGGGGTTGAAACCACCAATTAGTTAAAGCATACTAAAAGCATCCGAAAACCCATCGTTTTTTGCCCAGAGATTTCTTATATCGCCGAGGTGTCACTGGCGCAAGAAGCCTCCAAGAAGGGTCTCATTGAGGCACGGGATAGGGCAATAGCCATCCCGGCCATGACTTACTTCATTTGAATCTTCCATGATCTTCCATATCATGAAATGGCTATGGAGTTAGAATTTAACATGTTTAGCTTCTCATGAAAATCCGCACTTAAATTGGGATGCTGTCAGACCAGAGCTGCGACGCCTGAACTTTTTTTACAGCTGAGAATCTGATGAATTTCACTGGCGCAGTGCTCGAGTGGTTCCTTCAAGTTGGAACGACATGACATTAAAATCCGGTTCTTATAGCTCGGAACTTTCTATTCAAGGAATAAAAGAAGTGCAAACACATGCAAATACTGAGGCGCAACAAAAAAAAATCGAGCGCCCAACATTAAAATCAGAGTTGCAAGTCTGCTTGGTGCTGTGGTGAAACAATATTTTTAAAAAGACACCCGCAATGTCGTGAGCGCAGAGATCACCCGAGTTGGATGTTGTTTTGATTCGACAAGACACGTGTTTTATACACCCTGGTGGTGGGTCAAGACATCATTTGGCTTGGTTAAGTGAACTAGATATAGTATGATATAGTGTGAAATAATATGATATATTACATTATATACTATATAAATCTAAATATAATCCCAAATTGTAATGGTGAAAATTGATGAACATTCCTCATTCGTTAAGTGGAGCGTCCTCCAAACATCTATTTTGGCTGATAACATCTCACTTTTCATCCCCATAGCACACCGTTCCACATCTAAGAATCCACTGCGAAAAACCTGACAATTTAGAATCTACAAAAATCTCAAAAAAGCTCACGCAACCCCAACAAAAATCACTCCAAAAACCCATTGATCATCATTGATCGATGGTTTTAATCCCCAATATATATCCCATGTCACTCAACAATTGTAGTATATCTCACATAGATCCCAACTATATCCCAACTATATATATATATATATCTCAAATATATCTCAACTTTATCCCATGAGTATCATATCCTATCAGCCAGCAGGAGACCCAATCCTGGCAGCAGCTCAGTCAACAGCATGGCCTGGCGCCCGACGTGCGCCTCTTCGAGGCCGTCCTCATGGCCGTGGCAGCCGCGGCGACAGCGGATGTGGCGACAGCGGATGCGTCTGCGCCGGATCAGCCGGCGGAGGTGGCGCGCAGGTGCTTCCAGGAGGCCAAGCAGAAGCGGGTCAAGCGCCGATGCCGAAATGGATGGGTTTGAGATGGGAAAGATTCGGACAAATTCTGGAAGATGGGAATGAAGATTTTGGAAGATTGTTGTTTGGTGATATGGAATATCAAAAAAGGATGGAACTTCAGAAAATCGGAAAATGGAGAGGATATTATAATTTAATCAAATAATGATAGCTTTGCAACCGCAAAGCCGAGGCTGCGGCTGAAGACCTTCAACGCGCTGATCGATGCGGTGGGAAAACACGAAGGTCTAAAGGCTGCGGAGCGGACCTTCGCCAAGGTCATCGAAGAGGGGCTGCGACCCGATCGAGTGACCTTTACGATGACTCTGGGGCTGACACCGACGAGAGTTGGATGGGGGATTGTGATTCGGTATTTAAAGAATTATTGAACACGGTAAATCCATGTAAATCAAAGAAAACTCGGATTTTTTGGGGGTAATAAAATTGTATATAATGATCAGTATTGTTTTCAAACTATCCATTCTAGAACTTGTATATAAAGGAGGGTGATCGATCATTGCCTGGAAAGCAATTGACTGATGAATTTTTCTGCCGTGGAGGGTGCTAACTTGGACAGCCAGGATGGTGAACGTTGCGGCAAAGTCTCGCGATTTGCAGTCCGCAGAGGGCTGGTTCCGAGCGGCACAGGAGACTTGGTGTGACGTCTGTAGCTGGAGATTGGAGGTGAGGGTCGCCTGGGTCGGTCGCCTTGTGGGACAATTGGAGTGTTTTCACGGTAAGTTTCAGTCAACTCAGGTCGGGGCAGCACTCAGCGGCTGTCAGAGAGGTTTGTTGTTGTCAATCTCAATGTCGTCAACAGTGTCTTCTGCCTTGAACCTCATGTTTGCCTCAGCCGCAGCTCTGACAATTGGGAGTGTTATACCATGCCTGTTTCTTTTCCAGTGATGTTTTCCAGACCAGCCAAACGAATTCAGCCATGACATGGCTAATGTGTTGTGTAGAACATGTGATCTTCTGTGAGATCAGCAGATTTTTCGCAACAATTTTCGCCATGCCTGGCAGGGTTTCCCAGATTTTTCCATTTTATTTTCGGATTTTCCATTAAATTATTCGATATTGCTAGAATCTAGCTCTTGGGGTAGCACTTTTTCCTCACCTGCCAGATGAGGGTTGTTAGACTTTATCAGAGCGCATGCCCGCCGCCTCTTCCTCCTCCTCTTCCTCCTTCTCCTCCTCCTCGACTAGCTGTCCTCCTCGCCCTCCTCGCCCTCCTCCTCGCCTCCGCCTCCTTGCCAACTCGTTGCCGAGCTCTTTGCCAACTTCCCAGCTCAGTGTGCACCGCTGGACCTCAACCTGGGACCTTCCCAGCTCAGTGTGCACCGCTGGACCTCAACCTGGGACCTGCCCAGCTCAGTGTGCACCGCTGGACCTCAACCGGGGACCTTCCCAGCCTGGGACCTGCCCAGCTCAGCGTACACCGCTGGAACTCAACCGGGGACCTTCCCAGCTCAGTGTGCACCGCTGGACCTCAACCTGGGACCTGCCCAGCTCAGTGTGCACCGCTGGACCTCAACGGCCAGATAGAATGCCAGATAGAATGCCAGATAGAATGCCAGATAGAATGCCGGAAGATATGCCAGAACGTATGCCAGAAGATATGCCAGATAGAATGCCAGAAAGTATGCCAGAAAGAATGCCAGATAGGATGTCAGATAGAATGCCAGAAGATATGCCAGATAAAGTGCCAGAATGTTTGCCAGATAGAATGCCAGAAGATTTGCCAGATAATATGCCAGAAGATATGCCAGATAGAATGCCACATAGAATGCCGGAAGATATGCCAGAACATGCCAAAAGATATGCCAGATAGAATGCCAGAAGGTATGCCAGATAAAGTACCAGAATGTTTGCCAGATAATATGCCAGAAGATATGCCAGATAGAATGCCAGATAGAATGCCAGAAGAGATGCCCCCAGAAGGTATGCCAGATAGAATGCCAGAAGATATGCCAGATAGAATGCCAGAAGGTATGCCAGATAAAATGTCAGATAGAATGCCAGAAGATTTGCCAGTAACAAAATGTATAAATGTCATGGTGGGGATCACACGAAGTAAAGTATTTTTTTTTGGAAACGCCCATATTGATCCCTGGTTGGTGGTTTCAAACACGGCTTGCTTTTCCATCATATATGGGATGTCATCCTTCCCATTGAGTTTCATATTTTTCAAGATGGCAACAAAACCACCAACCAGATATATATCATCAATTATCATGATATATCCCATCATACCCACATGAAATATCCCACTTGTATCTATTAACCATTATAACCAAAAAAATCCATTAATATCACATGGCTTTATTGCCATTAATATCCATTATAAACCATCAATATCCATTAATATCCATTATAAACCATTAATATCATTAATAACCATTCATATCAATATCCATTAATATCCATTATAAACCACTAATATCCATTAATAAACATTATAACCTTTAATATCCATTAATATCCATTAATAACCATTAATATCCATTAATAACCATTATAACCATTAATATCCATTAATAACCATTAATATCCATTAATAACCATTAGTATCAATACCCATTAGTATCCATTATAAACCATTAATATCCATTAAAGACCATTATAACCATTAATACCCATGAATATACATTATAAACCATTAATATCCATTAATAACTATTAATATCCATGAATATCCATTATTAATATCCATTGATAACCATTAATATCAATATCCATTAATATCCATTATAAACCATTAATATCCATTAATAACCATTATAAACCATTAATATCATTAATAACCATTAATATCAATATCCATTAATATCCATTTTAAACCATTAATATCCATTAATAACCATTATAACCTTTAATATCCATTAATAACCATTAATATCCATTATTAATATCCATTAATATCCATGAATATCCATTATTAATATCCATTAATATCCATGAATATCCATTATTAACCATTAATATCCATTAATAACCATTAATATCCATGAATATCCATTATTAGTATCCATTAATATCCATGAATATCCATTATTAATATCCATTATTAACCATTAATATCCATCAATAACCATTAATATCCATGAATATCCATTATGAATATCCATTAATATCCATGAATATCCATCAATAACCATTAATATCCATGAATTTCCATTATGAATATCCATTTATATCCATGAATATCCATTATTAATATCCATTAATATCCATGAATATCCATTATTAACCATTAATATACCATACAACAACCATGGTTATTGCACCAAGCAGATCCACATGAAAGGACCCACCCAGCGTCGTGTCGCCCCAAGGAGGCCGGCATCCAGGCAGATCTGGTGATGTACACTGCCTTGTTGGACGCCGCCGCCAAGGCAGGTCGTGCTGACCTCGCGGATGATGCTCGGCTGAACCAATGATGTTGGCGATGTGAACCGGTTGGTTATAACATTCTCGGTTCGATGAGTGGATTTGTTGTTTGGGTTTATAACAGATGAATGTGGATTATATGGGGTTTAATTATATAATAATAATATGTATAATATATATAATATTTACATGTGTATATACAATATCAGGTGTCATTAATATGGTTTATATTGATATGTTATAGCTGGGATTATACAATTACAACATGTTTCTCAACAGTCGATCCCATCGGATCATAATGTCAAGCCTTTTTTCGGCTGTTGAAAATTGGGAAGGTATCATAAAAAGTATCAGATGAAATGACTATTGGAGGAATAGGTATTTAAGTATCAGATGAAATGACTATTGGATACTATTAGGTATCATTTAAGTATGAGATTGTGACTATTGGAGGAATACCGGAATAGCCCTCTAAACTATATAAACTATTGTTTATTAATCCAGGGTTGACTTTTTCATGTTCATAAACCAACTTCATCCCATCCTCCCGATATCAAATAGCCCCAAATATTTCATTATTTCCAGGCTTTCCAGGGGAGTATTTAATATTAGGTGGACGTAAAGATTAGAAATAATACTTACCAAATTTTTGCATTAGTACCTAAAGATCCAGTAACATTAAATTTATGTAGTCAGGTTAACGGGATTAAGTTTGGTTGTAAATCCCAATTCACTAGTTATGTCTACCATAAAGCGAAGTTGTTTGAGTTATAAACCAACTTACCCTCTGGTGATTAGTGGAAATCACCATCTTGAATTAGTAAGTCCTCTAGCTATGGGCCATGGCTTTGCAAACTGTTGGCCGGAAAAAACTGTTCCATCTGCGTCTGCCACAATCCAATATCATATCGTTGGTTACTTCATATCCCCATTGAATATATTATATATATAAATGTATACATTAAGTATGTATATATATATTATATATATGTATATATATTATATATATATGTATATATTATATATATATGTATATATATATTATATATATGTATATTATATATATATATACATATGTATATATTATATTATATATATAGGTATATATGTGAAATATCCCATAGCACATTCCCACGATGATTGCTTTATGTCCTTATACCATAGTCCCATCACATATTCCCAGTCATGGAACATCCCCACCAGTTAGGTTAGTGGCTTGGCTCATAAACCGAATCTATCGACATCCAAAAACATCATATTCTTGGTTGTTCCATGTATCATATATCCGTGTGAAATATATGTGAAATAGCCCAACACATGTTTCCACTATTCTTACTTTATATCCTTCTAGCTTATTCCCAAAAGCACTCATATACTATCAAGAACTAATCACCATCTCACTCCATATTCGCATAATGCTTACTTTATCTCCTTGGTTCCCATCATATCCCATCTCCACTTATGGAACATCCCCAGTTAGAACCATCCCCAGTAATCTGAGATTTGTGGCTCAGAAACCTCATATCTTTACCAAATCTGAGACTCCCCCCATCTCAATCCACATATTCCCATTGGTTTATGCTTGGTTTATATTCCCATTGGGAATATGGATAAACCATCATATCCTATCATCATATCCATGGTGAATGATGTTCCCATCATATTCCCATCATATCAAACATCTTCGCATCATCTTCTCATCTTCTCATTGCGAAAAGTCCAAGTCTTCCCATCTCCACATCTTCCAATTCTTCCAATTCTTCCCATCTCCACATCTTCTCATATTCCCATCATATCAAACATCATCTTCCAATTCTTCCCATCCAGGAGTGGTTTCAGGAGCTCCTGTCCCAAAATTTAAAGCCGGACAGCGTGAGCTACACGACCCTCATGGAGGCGCACGCCAAAAGCGGAGAGATGGCCTTGGCCGAGAGACGCTGGGCTGAAAAATGGTGTTTGAGCTGGTGAAAAGCAAAAGACCAGCTGGAAAAAACATCAACTGATGTAACAGTATTAGATGGTAGGCCATAGGTATAGAATCAACGCTCATAGATTTATTAGAAAAAATTGAACTCGATTTTTTTGCCATCAAAATGGGGATAAGAACCAAGAAGAGTGAGGAGTTCATTGATCAAAGTCGACAAACATTGGCATTTCACCAACCTGAAATTGAGAACTTCAGCAGCAACATGGGGATTTAGATAAAGAAACTGAGCTTAAACTGAGGGTTGGTGGGTGTACCAAAACTTGGGGATTCAAAGGTCCATTTTAGAGCGTAGCTGCTTGAACATCATGTGATTAGACCTACAGTTTCTTGGGTTATGTGAAGATTACATGGGCCATTTGGTCCTTCAGTTCACAGGTTCTGGCAGTCCGGATGAGGAGTTGACCTGTGTCAGGGGATACCATGTCAATGTCAATCCCTTCAAACAATTTATTTACATCCAATGCCAATATCATCCAATGCAGCTGATACTCCCACACTCATATGACAGCTTCTCATCCCTCACTTAGCTGGGCCACGGAGTTCGGATGCGCCATCGAAGTCGTGTTGAATTTCGTTGGCAGCCCATCGAACTGCTTCAATACAACAGGATCCCAACCAGGTCATCTGGCAGATTCTGACAGTTTGCTCTCCGAAATCACCCAATTTCAGCTGAAAGATCTCCGAAATCTCCCAGTGGATCCTCCTTCAGTCCTTGAAGTCAGGATATTTCGATCAGATCCAATCCTTTCACGGCCTCGGCCGCCCCAGCCTGGAGAGTTACAGTGCCATCATCAACGGCCACGCGCGGCTGGGCAATCTGGACTCGGCGGCCAAGTGGTTCGGCGACATGGAGCGCAACGGGCTGACCGCCACTCGGCCACGGAAAACGCGGGTTAAACCTGCTGAAATGGGGATTTACGATGGATTTAACCAAAGAAAAATAAAGGCAGATACCAAGAGATCGGCCCCAACTCCAACCTCGTTTGGACAACCAGATTCGATGAGCCTACAGTAATTAGTCCATAGATGGCCTATGGTGGTCAGTGAGGCTCAAGTATCATTGTTTCATAGTGAATGATGCCAATATGGAAATTACCCTTTCAATGGCCATTTCAGGAACCGATTGATTGGAGGTACTTACCATATATAAGGCCTATATAAGGATCCTGAAATTCCCAAAAAGAACCATAGGAGATCAGTCGTCGGAGTTTCAGGACCTCTTGACCAAGGGAAATCCAGGACTTGCACATTCAACCGGCAGCAGTGACATTTCTTGGTTCAGCTGGCGCAGTGAACTTCGACGGGGATCCCTTGGAAGCTGAAACGGCGAACAGTTCGGGTTTCCTGTAAGCTTTCCCAAGCAAATTATTCTGGGAAAGGAATTATCAAGATAGCCCAAAGGGAGCAACAAGCAACAAAAGGATGAGGTTCATATTCAAGAAACACTTGGAGATGAGAAGGCTGCTGTTGTCACCCCAATCAACTCCTATTTGTTTCTGGTGAGTTAGACCAAGTTAGTCTAAGTTAGACCCCAGTTTTTTGCCAAGGCAACGGTGGTTCAATTCAATCAACTCCTGCGGGCCTGCGCCGAGTCGGCCACGGATGAGCGACAAGCCTTCGCCGAAGAAGTGTTTAAACGCATGGTGGAGCGTGGGATCTCTCCCTCAGATGGAACCCTGCAAGCCTTGAAATGGGCTGTTGGGGCCAATCGGTTTCACGAAATTTATTCGAAAATTGGTATTTATCAAGTGCATTCTCAGAAAAATATGGCCGCTGTTATATATTTGACACCCAAATTCAAAACTAAGGAATTATAAAAGATGAATGCATAACCTAATGTACTTTATTTTACTTCGTATGATGCCACTGAATTATATATTCTGATATATATATATTCTTACATTCTATTTCAAAAAATACAATTTTGACATAACACTTACTATCTGACATCTTCTCTGGCATTCTATCTGACATTTTGCTTGAGCGAGAGCGATTGTGTTTTCTATATGCCTCTGGGTGTGTATAACAATATGCAGGTTTTTTCCCCGATAGAAAATAACATATGAGATCCGCTCTAAAATGCCTATAAGGAACTTTTAAATCCGAGGGCCGTAAATTTGGGCAGTTATGTGTATTTTAGATTTCATTACAAGGCGGAGTCCTGTATTTTTGCAGTGAAATTGCTTTCCTGCAAGTTGGCGCTAGATTGGCATTAGTGTGGCGCTAGATACTTTTACATAGCCACTCAAGTGAAACATAGTCAGGCCTGATGCTTTCTTTCCCTCATGCTTTCTTGCAGATTCTTGCATTTGTTGTTTCCTGCTTGTGCAACTCCTCAGTTTGGCCAGCATCACAAACGTGACTTGTAAAGATATGTGAAAATAATTGCTTTTCAAGTTTTAATGGCTAGGCTAAACGTAGTTCTGGCGGTAGATCCGCGCTAGATCCATGCTAGATTGCCACAATACGCAGTTGCCCCTTGATCAACTCACCGTACTTGAAAACGCAAGAGCACTGTTTGCTTCCAGCTGGTAGCAGCAACTCGGAGGCTGCATTATTCAAACAAAGGATCCACGCAGCGGAACTATTTCAAAATAATTTTCGTCCGAAACCGGGAAAAAGAAAACATATAAAACACATATAAAATATTGATTATTATTAATTAATATAGGTAGGATTCCCTCCCTCTCAATAAATATTGAATTGGAGGCAAATCAAAATAGGAGGTCCGGAACAAGCTCCGGGACCACCCCCGTTCCATACCCCCGTTCCATACCCCCGTTCCATACCTCCTTGAAGGATCCGTTCCATACCTCTGTTCCATACCTCTGATCCATACGTTATAATATAACATAATATATATATAATTATATATAATTATTATTTATATATATATGCAAGTATATGTATATTTGATTATGTGCAATCTGATTTTATATTTGTACGCACATAAATGAGCGCACGTACATACATGAGTGCATACATACAAGAATACGTTTACTATGCCCAAGCCCTGTGATTGTGTTGGCAAGTCTGTGCCTGCAGCACTTACAGCTGCTACCTACTTTGTTGTGTGATGGTAGGCTGCCAGCTGGCAGTCTAAGAATGGATTGCTTGTAACCCTCCCTCCCTCTCAACCTGTGGCAGGTTTGTGCCTGCACCACTTAAAGTTGCTGCAGGCTGTGGCACAGCTGTGGTGTTTGATTGTAGAGATGCGCTTGGCTGCCTGGCAGTCTAAGAATTGCTTGCTGCGCTATTCTCGCTCCAAACTGCGAATTTTGATAAAGATGTGCTGCGTGGTGGCAGTGCTGTGCTGGAGTGGGCCGTTTCGTTCCAGACCGCGTTCCATACCCGTTCCAGACCTGGACCACCCATGTACCACCCCTGACCCACTGTTGAACACATGGCAGGTTCTCACATAGACTGCTCGTAAGCCATCCTTTGCGCGTGGGTTATGGGAGGGTAGAGTCTTGCTATGCAGGGACACAATCTACCCCATAGGGACCTCTGAGTTTTAAGAGTAGGAGGTGGGACCTGCGTGATAGGTCTGAAGCTGAGTCGATAGCTTTACATGGTAGCCAGTGGGTGACACTGGCTACCGGTCGTGTCGTATCTAGTGCACGAGCACTAGCCATGCAAGGCAAACCTGCGTTGAACAGGTGTACAACAAGGATGTCGTGCAGATGAGTAGCTTCAACGTGCATATCCTTAAGATATATAATATATATATTATATAGCCTATATTTCATTACACTCCAAAGGTCCGGAACAAAACCAACCACGAAACACCTTCGTTCCATACGTCCGGAACACCGCGGAACATTCCATACACAATTTTGACTCGGGACCAATTATCTTAATAATTTGATATGTTTTTGAAAAATAAATTTAATAAATAATAAATAATTTAATTAATTAAATATATTAATATATTTAATTGTTAAATAATATATATTAATAAAACTATATTAAATAAATTTAATTTATATAATTTTTTGAATTTAAAAAAATATATTAAATTAATAAATAAATAAATATAAAATTATTCTAATTTATTTAAAATTGTTTTAAAATATTTTTTTAAATTTTAATAATTTATATTATTATTATTATTATTAAATTATTTTATATTTAATTTATTTATATTTATTTTTATTTAATTAATTTATTAATAAAATAAATAATTTAAATTTAAATTAATTTTAATTTAATTAAAATTATTATTATTTATTTTATTTAATTATTAAAATATAAAATAAAATATTATTGAAATAATTATATTAATAAAGATTTGAATTATTTATAAAATATTATTTTAATGATTATTTATATATATATTTTTTTAAAATAATAATTTAAAAAATATAAATATATATATTTTATTATTATTATTTATTTAAATTTGAATAATTTAGATTAAGATTTATTATTTTTTTTTCCTTAATTAAAATTTAATAATTTATTTTATTTATATTTAATTTAATTTAAATATAATTAAATACAAAACAAAAAATATTGCCGTTGCCTTTTGGCACCGCCGTTTTGGGTTGATTTCTTTATTATTTTTGGGATATTGATATTTAATTTAATTAATTATTAGATATATAATTTTTTATGGATTGATATTTATCTTTTTTTCACGAAAGCTAGCGTCAGCTAGCTGGAATCTTCTTGCTTTAGCAAATATTCCGGGGGGCTGCTCAAGGACATCACGTGATTTTTCACGCGAAAGGGGGGACCCCCCCCCACCACCACCATCACCACCATCATCATCATCATCATCGTCATCATCATCATCATCATCGTCATCGTCCTCGCCATCGTCGTTATCATTATCATCATCACCATCACCATCATCATCATCGTCGTCATCATCATCATTATCATCATCATCATTGTCATCGTCCTCGCCATCGTCCTCGTCATCGTCATCGTCATCATCATCATTATCGTCCTCGTCCTCGTCCTTGTCCTCGTCATCGTCATTATCCTCGTCCTCGTCATCGTCATCATCATCATCATCATCACCATCATCGTTAATCAATTACATTTTATCATTATTGACAATTATTGGCATTATCACGAAAGCTAGCGTCAGCTCGCTAGAGTCTTCTTGCTTTAGCAAGTATTCCGGGTTCCCCAAGGACATCACGTGCTTTTTCACCCGAAAGGGCCCCCCCCTGCCCCCTCCCCCATATATATCATTATTTAAGCGCTTACGCGCGACAGCCGGCCAGGGGCCCAACTATGTTGGCCCATCTTATGTCTATGTTGGCCTATGTTGGCCTCATGTTGACCCATTTTGAGGCAAAAGAGCCGAAAATTGTTGTTGTTGTGGTTGTGGTTGTTGTTGTTGTTGTTGTTGTGGTTGTTGTTGTTGTTGTTGCTGTTGTTGTTGTTGTTGTTGTTGTCGTCTTCGTCTTCGTCTTCGTCTTCGTCGTCGTCGTCGTCGGCGTCGGCGTCGTCGTCGTCGTCGTCGTCGGCGTCGGCGTCGTCGTCGTCGTCGTCGTTGTCGGCGTCGTCGTCGTCGTCGTCGTTGTGGTTGTTGTTGTGGTTGTGGTTGTGGTTGTTGTTGTTGTTGTTGTTGTTGTCAGTGTTAGTGTTAGTGTTAGGGTTAGTGTTAGTGTTAGTGTTAGTGTTGGTGTCGTTGGTTGTTAGTGTCGTTGGTTGTTGTTGTTTGTTCATGTTGTTGGTGGTTGGTTGTAGTTGGTGGTCGGTGGTTGGTTGTTGGTGGTTGGTTGTTGTTGTTGTGGGTGGTTGTTGGTTGTTGTTGGTGGTTGGTGGTTGGTAGTTGGGTGTTTGTTGTTGGTTGTGGTTGGTAGTTGGCTGTCTGTTGTTGGTTGTGGTTGGTGTTTGTTGGTCATTGGTTGTTGGTTATTGTTACGAAACGATAGGTAGAGAGGGAACGATACCTGTGTGAAAGTGGCAGAGTGTTGCTTAGACCGACCAGAGAAGGCCAGCGGTTAACCCGGTTAACCCGGCTTGTTTTGAAGGGGATGTTTGGAATAACAACGCATGCAATCCTATTTGGCATGTTTACCGAATGGCATCTTGACCGTGGAGCTAGCCGGTATGGAACGGCTTTCTGTTTGGTGCGGTAGCTGTGGTCAGCTAGAGCGTTGCTCAAGCGAGGTCAGAGTGTTGCTGAGACAGACCGTCGCAATCGCCGTGCTAGCAAGGGAAAAAATATGTTTATCAGAGAACCAAATCAGCAGCTTCCCTCAGGCTCACTTTTCTGCTTAGTTTTAACTTTTTTGGAATGTGTAGAATGAGAAGAGGCCTCGGACGGTGCAAGGTAAATGATGGTGGATACAACGTTTGGGGGTCATTAGGCCATCGACGTCCGCGGGTGTCTGCGAGTCGGCTATGAACCAGCTAGTTTTTGGCATTGTTCCCGACAGAAGTGGACACAGAAGACAGTGCGGCAAGCTCAGCAGTATATAAATGTATACTATATTCATTGATCATGTGGTTGTCCGTGTGTGTGAGGCCTTGAAAAGGTTTTTAAGGTTTTTAAGTTTTATCTTTCTAGGTGATGGGAGAAAGGCTTTATTTCTTGCCATCAGCATGTGACGATTTCTTCTTTTGAAAGATTCTTCTTCTCCCGGTGAAAGGATTCCTCCTTCCCGGCGCCGGGTTGGGAGGATTCTCTTTTTCCCGGCTCCCGGCGCCGGGTCTCCCTCCCGGCGCCGGCTCTCCTCCCGGCGCCGGCTGAAGCCTTCCTCCTTTCCCAGTGCGGGGTGGAAGCTTTCTTCCGTTTCTT